GGAATTTCGACACGTATATTATATAAAAACACGTGCGTATTCGAATGCAGCGTTGTGTCAAAATTTCAAAGGAATCGGTAGGAACAAACAAACATTACATTTTTATTTATATAGATAGATAGATGATGATCTGCTTTAGTTCATTTTCACAGAAAAAGCATAATGCCTTACAGAAAAGCAAACTTAGAGCGTCGTACTCGTAGCACCATCTGTTGGACGTAAAAGCCTTAACCTAGATTATATATTTTAATTTATATGAATGTTTAACGGAATAATATACAGCCTATGTCCACCCTGAGGTTTCATTCTAAATATTGGTGAAAGAATTTTTGAAATTGGATGAGTAGTTTCGGGGATTACCTGCTGCAAACAAACTTACTTACATAATACTTACAAACATTACCTCTTTATAATATTAGTATAGATCACTATTAACCAACTTCGCATTGAATTTTCATTGATGTTTAGCCTAACAATTTTTTTTTTAAATAATAATTGTCACTATTGTATCGTTAAAAATTATTTTAAAATTATTTTATTGCTCATGAAACAAACAACCACTCATAATTAGAAAATTAAGTCTCGTTTAAATATTGGCCTCCCTTGAATGGTCGAGCCATTGATGCCAGCTAAAACATGCAAATATTTAACAAAAATAATATTAAAGTAGCCAAGATATAGCCAAATATTGTAATGACACATCACTAGTGGACATTTGAAATTCGCCGACTAGAACGGTCGGTTAACCGATGTGACGGTTAATCGGGGGTTAGATAATTGATGCTCTACTGTATTTCTTTTTATTTTATACAGATTCTTGAAAGGCCTGAAACAGTATTTATTGGATGTATAGCCCTTAGATTTTCTCCATTAATTCAAACCATTCTTGAACATTTATATGAATGGATATTAGCTTTTGGCAAATGCTTGAATAAGGATGCAAATGAAGAAATGATGACTTTGAAGACAGAGTTTGAGGTAAATATGTGGTTTGACTTTTTGATATAATATAATATATAGAGCATTACAGGACTGAGCTAAAGAATATTTAATTTTACTGAATTTTAGTGTTTAAAAAAGGAACTAGATAGACCTCCACAAACATTAGAAGAGTTGAAATTAGTGTTAGAGACAATTACTAAAATTCGAAATATGTCTTTTGAGATGGATGTTTCAATTAAAAATCTGGAAGAAAAATATCGCACACTTGTAAATAATAATATATATGTAAGTATTAATGTAAACTATAACATTTATTTACAGTAATTAAAATCTTGTTATGTAAGAATAATTGAAAATGAATTTAGCACTGATTCATAACAGTTTAGTTATTTTTTTTATACTGTACTTTGTTTTGTTAAACCATAACATAAATACAAAATTTTTAATAATAAATTCAACAAAATGAATTGCTTTTGCATTATTAATAAATATATCTTTAATATAAAATTTTATTCTTTTTAATAAATTATTTTTAAAGTATTTTAGTTAGATAACAAATATGAATTACAGGAACAATTATGGTAATAAAATAGATTTTTTTCAAATGAGAAAGATTTAAATGTTTAAAACATTATTATAAAATAGAATATAATAAACCATTTTACAAGATACAATACTCACCAGAATGGCATTAGGCTACAAGATTGGTATTATTCATTTCCTGTTACCTTTTCAGCACAGAAGACAATAAGGAATGATTCAAGTGTTGAATAAATATGTTTAATTTTTGAGAATAAAATTTATTTTATTTCTATAAATATAATTTTTGAAGTGTAAAAAATAATAATTATGTCTTTAGTGTGATTTATTTTTTGTGTTGCTCAAGAAAATATAAAAATAAAGTAATAGTGGCAGCTGTTGTTTTACAATAACAATGTTTGTTTTTGTGTTAAAATGCCTTGTACATGTAACTTAACATACCTGTATGTACATAATACATACATGCATACATAACATACATAAGATAAATAAAGAATAATGTGAACAATGTATAAATTGTAACTAGATTTTATTTCTTTTTAGAGTATATTTTAAACAGAATTGTCATTATTTAGTTTTGTCAATTACAAGTTTTTTCCATAAAAGTTGTGTAAAGCTGTTAAGCATATAATTATCATCAAATAGTTTATTATGTACCATATTTTAATATATTTAATTAAAGAATGGTTATAGAATTTGTATTGTAAAACATAGTATTTAAATTTCTGTAATTTTTCATAACAGAAGTTTTTTCATAATAAATAAATAAAACAGAATTTTTATTAAATTTCTAGGTCTCCACAGAAGAACTGGAATCAGTAAAAAGTATTGAACAATTTTGGAATGATCTTGTTTATTTATCAAAAAAAGTTAATTTTTGTCTTCGATCTATTAAGAAAAAGTTTACACAGGTAATATATATAATTCTAAATAAATAAATAAATATGTAAATAAATAAATAAAATTATAAATATATATATTTATTTATTTATTTAGAATTTCAAGTATTTCACAAATTAGAAGGAAACAAGTTCTCGAAATGTTTATAACATGAAAATAACTGGCTGTACTAAATAAGCTAGTTATAATAGTAATATTAATAGCTCCATAAAACATTGGAAAATTTTTGTGATTTCTGAAATGTCAAAAAGTACTCTTGTTGTATGAAATAACTATTTAATGGCATTGGTTACTGATAATTATAAAGATTTATTTTTAACTTTTAATTGCTGATATGACTGAGATAGACATACCAACAAGTAAAAATCATAAAGAGAAATTATTCTATTGGAAAATTTATAAAAAGTTCTTGATGATATATATGTGATTTGTCTCTTAGCTATCTCTTACTTATTTACAGTTCTTTTACATAGATAATATGATTTATGGATAGGACCATTGAGAGGGAAATTGGAAACTTTTTTGTTCCTGGAGAAAACTTAGTGACCTGAAGTGGTTCCTACTCTTATAAATTAATGTTATTTTTACTAGCAAAAAATAAAATATTTAAGACTACTTTTCATTAATAAAGAACATTCTACATATTTCATTTGTTAGCACAGACTGCTTTGCCAGTTTTTTATCTCTGGACACCATACAAAATCTTGATGGCCCTGTTGATGAATGTGAGAAACATATATTATTTTATAGTTTTGACATATGTGAATTCTTCCATTACATTTTTGGACACAAACATCTATTTTGAAAACATACAGCTAAAATTTTTATTTCCCTAACTCATCCAGTTTTCTATTTTGGTATTCCTTTCTTCAAAGCAACAGGAACTACATAGGCTACTTGAATTTCTGAATTACATATGCACTTAAATCATTTGTGAAGATTTTAGTCTACTGTATCTTTTAAATCTTTAGTTATCTCAAAGTTGTTACAAAAATCTGTTTTCATTCTAACAGTTCAAATTAAGTGGAACAATTAAAATAAAAGTAATAGATGTTCTTTTATAGATCTTAATAATTCCATTTTACTTTAAATAAAAGTAATAGAGCTTGGATTCAATCTATCTGTGAAACATTCTCTATGAAATGTGTTTTCATTTAATATTGAATAACAGAATCTAGTATCAATTTCAATAATAACTACGTTTTCATTGAATGAAAATGTAATTATTATTGAAAAAGATTTATTGAGTTATCTCACTTCATTGAATGAATTTTTTAACATCAGTACTAAATACAGTTCTGAATTCAAAGCAATGAATTTCATTCTCTAACAATGCATGGTACAGTACAAATGATTGATGACATATTGATTGGTAGTTATTTTATAAGATTATATGACAGGACAAAATTACCTCATATTTCTGAAAAAGTGAATTAACAGAACAAATAGGGGATGATCTTTTGGTTACATGGATCGCTATGTACAGTACTTTCAGCATAATAGAACTTCTTCCTCATTTTATCCATCTTGTGATGCAACATTTCAATGACACTTTTTATAATTATTGATCATTCTTAGTAAAACCAGTAATTAGTTCTCAAGGTCTCTAGACCTAACCCTGTTAGATTTTTGTTTATGGGGTTAGATAAAGATTAAAGTATATAGAAGGAAAATAGACTTCTTCAAGAATATGTGATGGATTTCTTCCTGTGCAACTTATACTTTCCATCTGCCTAACCGCTTAAAGTGAGCAGATCCATATCTTATAATGCAAAGACTATTTTCTCTGTCCATTTTGCCTGCCCCATCCATCTGTCCACCCAAGTAAGTGCTTACTCTTATATTTAATATCTAATACACCTTATATTAATGCCATTTTTTTTTTTTAAATTAACATTACTGAATGCTATGATTTTGCTTCAATGATTTCTATCATAAATATTCTAATATCCATTGAGATAAAAACAACTTTATTCTAAATTTAGCATAAAATTTAGAGTAAAGGCAGATGGTGCCATAAGTAACCAAATATGGTTATATCCAAATTAACAGGTTCTTGAGGCGAGGATCAGATGAAGGTCCAGATAGCATAACTAGCAATGTCACCATGCAGTAAGCAGATGTTGTGGGTTAAAGTCCCACTTTGGGCCGCTTATTTTCTTCCAGAACCTTCTAAATTAATTATTAAAATATTAATTTAATTATAAGTATTAAATTTAGCAATGGATGGCACCTAATGCCTGTCTATAGTGCCAAATTAATAATAATAATAGTAGTAATATAGCCCAATGTAATCCAGCAATCATTTGGCTTTAATATATAACTATTGGGTTTAAGATGTTTATGTTTTCACACAAAAATCAAAATTCATATACTTGAAAGATTTTAGGAATCGAAAAGTTCAGAATCAGATGAAACATTTTTTAAAACTTTTATTGTCTTGGTTTCAGATCTCCAATTGTAGTCTGCTCTGTTTAGAAAAGATTATATTTGAATGCGCAATTATTTATTGTGACATCATCATAATGCTCTTTACCTCAATCAGTAGTGGCTTACCAATGTACTGTACATCATACTTTTCCTTTAACAAAAGGGTCATGCCAGTCATTAACACCTTTCAGGGGAAAATTTTTGAATTGAAATAACATGACCTCTGGTTTGCAATGGAAGTTCATATATAGTTAATCAGGTCTCCTGCCCCTACAGTTTCCATATATGGTCTCATCTTCTATCTATCAACTCTGCTCTTGAGATTAAGGAAAGACAGATGACAGTGGGAATTTATGGGTCTACAATTTTTTCAAATTGCAACCCAGTAAATTTTGTGCCAACTGGATTTTTAACCCTTTAAATTTTTCAAGAGTTTGCTTTTTGGCTTTATGCTCTATTTTTATCAATATATGTAAAAATGAAAGAGGTATATTGTATATTGTTCTATATCAGTTGATTTCTGCATTCTTTCTTTTCCNTATTTATTATTAACAGTGGAACCGCATACCAGAATTTGGAAAATGTTGAAGAAAATAAGACATTTACTGGTTCCAAATAATATGATATATCACATTGTCATTGTATTAAAATATTATGCTCAATAGTTTTAGTTTTTTTAGTTTTTACTGGGGAAGGAAAGTTCTAGTCCTTCTTTCTGTCAGCCTTGGTGTGATAAGCCCTCCAAATTGTTAAATCCTATTTTTTAGGTTATCTAACTCTATCTAATTCCAAGACGGTGTTGGAGATGAACTTTCAACAGACCCTTTATACCAGATTGCTGGAAATGAACTTTTTATTGAACAGTTGTCTTTGACCCTCCAGAGATGGTTGTAGTGCCTCTATTTATGTAAGCATGATTTTCTATACAAATAAATGCTTTAAGTTTGGAAATTCAGTCTCTGCGTGAGCCTCTTTGTGTTCTGCAATCACTACCTCCATACGTCCAAGTACTTCTCATGTCATCCTGACAGATTGCGGAAAAAGCGAAGATCATAAGCTTCACCTAAGACAGACCTAGGCGAGTGGCGTTGGGCCTGAAACCTTACACATGCTAATTAATTGTTAATTTCAGTCTGTTATTATCAACAGTGTTAACCAACTTGTTCTCGAATACTCAATACCAATTTGTTACTAATTACTCTATAATCTGTAAAAGGTAAATAGGCAGTATTGTGATACCTTATTTTTATTTTTGCAATAACTTGTATTAGTTACTTGTTCTTGAGAACTTGATTCTCATTATACAGTTTTGTCATACTCTTATGGTGGTTGTTATACCTAGAGGCAATTTTATTTATTTGCCCACTAGTAGAATCTTAATTTTCCATTTTATTCAGGTTAAATTATGTTTTTTGTAGTCAAAAACTCTTCCATTTCTATATTAGACAAGTATAGTAAAAGGATATTAGGACTTATACCCCTTAATATAGAAAATCACTCTGTTCTGAAGTTTTTCTGTTTAGACAGGATTTCATTTTATTCAGGTTTCATTTTAGGTGAGTTTTACTCTATTATGAATATGAAAAACTAGATAACATTCAAAATAAACTTTTATTTTAAATTTATCATCATTAAAATTAAGAATTTTGTATTGTGCTTAAATTTTTTATATGGTTAAAATTGTTTATTTAAATTTATTTTTATAGAATTTAATAAGTAAAACAGCAAAACCGTATTTGGGACAAGACTATGTCTCAGAGACTCACTACTAAGCGGAATCACTTTGACGGTCAAGGCAGGTCTTGTTTTCATTCTCCAATCTTCTTTGGTATCACTGCTTTTGGGCGCGATTGTTCAAATTTCGCCGGCCACGATTATGAGGTCGTCCACGATACATTTTCGATAAAATTAACCTATCCAATTTTGAAATTTCTCTCTGTTGCATGTTGAATTTTTGTCGATGCGTAACAAAAACTTCCTGTTTTTGAAAACAATAATCGTGGCTATTGTATCGTCTGAAATTATTTTTTTATTTTGCACAAACAATATACAATTTAACCCAATTATAATGTCATCGGATGTAAAGACAACCCTAATATAACGTCAAATTTTTATTGGTCCCACGATTTTACTATACTAGATAATTTTAAAAAACCCACATGTAACAACATAAAACCGTTTTAACGTCATATTTGAAGCACTCCAAAATTTACAAAATTAGATTACAAATTTTATTTAATGTAGAAGAAACTACGTGTTCAGTCCTAAGGTCAGAGTTCACTTCTTAGAATGACTGTGGGTGGTACTCTCCCCCACCTGACTTCGGTGGGGTGAGATGCCTGTTTGTAGAAGAGGATTGCCATTTTGGATTTTATTTTGACTTGGTTCTTGTTTTTTTTATGCGCAAATGATTTGGGCACCTAATACTCTGTGCCAAATATCAACTCTTGACATGTACTCCTTCATACCTCTATGCTGGTAACAAAATGGCAGTACGATTTTATAAACAAGACAGTCTTCTCAATAATGTAAATTCATTTAAAACAGTTGTATTCATGAAGCCATAGATTACAATAAAATG